ATGTTTTCAGGTTATACATAGCTGGAAGCGGCTTGAAGCGGCTCCGGACTATTTATCAAATAGCCCCTGGGTGTCACAAACTTTTTATAAATAGTTTCTGGAATTTATGAATAGCTTCTGGGATTATAAATAGCTTCTGGGATTTTTTAAATCGCTTCTGGCCTCCAAATGCTCAAAACAGAAACCAGCCAACAAAGAGGCTGATATACTCAGTAAGGTTTAGGATTCAGGGCTTAGGGTCTGAAATCCTTAAAGTGGGTTACAGAGGGGATTATACAGGGGACTACTATAGGGGTTATTAAGGGGCATACTAGGAGTTGAGACTATGGCTCATGTAATTTCATAGGCGCGTAGATGCACTCTGCCCGCTTTTTTGGTGTTTAGATCTTGCCCGAGGATGAAAAGCCAAAAGAACGGGACCAGCAGGATTACTCACCTTAGGCTCTGCAGGTAATACCTCAACATCCAGGGCAGGACTCTCCTGTAAAGTGCTTCAAAGAGGATGGCATCAAGCGGATAGCACGCGGTTTAGGGTTTGGGGTATAGGGTTTGGGGGGTTTACCTCTGAAATCACCTCTCCTCTAACCGAAAAGATCCATGTAGCTATATGGTATATACTTTGGCCTTACAGTAGTTACATGCCAACTTCTTTGGGCCCTGGGTATACAATATGTACCTACATAGAAACTGTGCGTAAAGACCCTTAATTTCGGGTTGAGGGTGTAGAGCAATCATGGAGAATAAAACAGGAGAAGAAATGGGAAAAGACATGAGAACTGCGGTTATAAGTATTCCCTCTCATTGCGATTTCAGCCTTGGTGCACTGCACCTTCAAGCCACATCGTATTTATTCAGGCAGGTACATTACGTATCTGGGTGTCTTCATGGAGGCTCAAACCCTAAACCCTAGAATGCCCGAAGCTCTGTTCTTATTGCTTTTGCAACCCCAAAACCCTGTCCTGGTTGTTTTGCATCCCCTGATAACATTGGTATACCACCATGGGCTGTTAGACCCTAAAATGCCCTATTAGGACCTTATTACGGGTAGACTAAGGTACCCTAAAGGTCTAATAGCCCATAGTGGTAACATAGCACTCGGTAGCACGAAGCCCTACTCTGCTTGTGTAGCATCCCTAATTGCAATGTTGGAGTCTAGACCAAAACCCTACTAGGGTTTAGGGTTTAGGGTATTCTGATGTTGTATCCCCCGAAACCCAACAATCCCTGTCAACCCCTATATATACCCAGCTTCCATTTCATGTTCTTAATTCTTTTCCATACGATGCTCCACTGTTCGAAATATTTGGGCCTCTAAGCCTTAAACCCCAAAGCCCTCTAGGCCGCTACACCCTAACACCTTAAGGCCCCGAAACCCTAGCCCCTAACCCCTAAGCCCTACAGAATCCCGGCCCACAAGCGCTAGACCCTGAACCCTAGCCCCTAAACCCCTGCCCTAGACCTTATACAATCACGGCCCGCAAGCCCTAAAACCCTAAATCATTGAATTCTGATCTTGGGTCAATCCCCCACCCGGTAATGGGCAGCACAAAGGACAACTGTAGGTATGTTAAGGCCCCATGAACTCCAGAAACCCTAAACCTTAAACCTCACACCTATGATTGTAGGAGGGATTGAACTAACTTTGACCCCATATGAGCTATAGCCTAAACTCCTTAAAGTGGGTTATATGGGAGATTATATAGGGGAACCACTATAGGTGATATTAAGGGAGATATTAGGAGTTTAGACTATAACCCCTATAATCCCCTACATAACCCTATATATAGCAGTATCCATTTCATTTTCCATTTTCTTTTCCATTTGATTCTCCGTTATTAAGGGGAGATACTAGGACTAGGAGTTTAGACTAAACCCTAAACCCTAAACCCTAGAGACTTTGGCTCATATGGAGCTTCAGAGGAGGCGGAGGCTGAGGAGGACGACGACGTCAAGGAGCTTTTTTTGGGGGTAAGGGTGCTTGAGGTGTTCAGGGTTTAGGATTTAGGGTTTAAGGTTTAGGGTTGAGGGTTTAGGGGTTGGGGATTGGGGTGTGGGGGTTTAGGGTTCTGTAGGGTTTTAAGGCTCGAAGTGTCCAGGTACGTTTTACTGCACTTTGGGCCCAAAGGGGTTCCGTTCCTGCTTGCGTACTAGAGATTGCTAATAATGGTACTTAGACCTTCTTCAAGGGGGTTAGGATGAGACACTAAGTTTGAACCTTTGGGGGAGCCCTTGAACCCTAAACCCTAAACCCTTTTGGGCCCGATGTTTGAGTGCCGCCTTCATTCCTTCAGCATTTTGGGTCCAGGGGTTCGAAAGAGTTTGGGCCTGGGAGGTTCCAGGGTTTATAAGGGTTTAGAGTTGAGGGTTTAGGTGCAGGGTCCTTGTAAACTTGTAGCCCAAGTATATTGCACTTGTAACCCACCTGCAATGTACCTAGCTGAAACTGTCCTCAAGAAAGCTCACATGCCACAGCCGAAGCCAAGAGCTAAGAACCCTGAACATGAAATCTTCTCTCCAAAGCATGTATGCATATACGCATACACATAGCCGAAACCATAAGCCCAGAGTCCTAAAACTAAACCCAATGCCCTTGACAGTAAGCCACAAATCCTAAATCCAAAACTTCTTAGCCTAAGCCTTAGAATTAGAAACCCTAAGCCCTAAACCCTAAACCCTAGATCCTAAGTCGTACGCTGTGAGCCCTTTCAAGCCCGAAGCCTTAAACCCTAAACCTTGACCCACAACGAAATCATAAACCCTGACGAAGCGCAAAACCATAAGCCAAAAGCCAGAAACCCGCCTGCGAATACAATTTTCAAGGACTTCATCGAAGACGACCCAACGGAGGACTGAAAAGAAATTGGACGGATAGTCCTCAAGGTTTCGTTTCAGGGACTGGGGTTTAGGGCGGGTTTAGGGTAGGGCTTAGGGTCTTCGATTATTCTTAAGGTTCGTTGGGGGTCCCCGCATGGAGATCTACGGCCCCTCGAACCTCGAACCATTCTCTTTCAATGGGTAGACAGGGTGGACACAAGAGTTTAGGGTCTAGGGCGTGCATGGCGTTCAAGTTTAGAGGTTCTGTTATAGTAATGGTTTATGGTAGGTATGTCCATAATGGGATACCTGGACTCTTCTTGGAGGTCTGTTGTACTTGTAACCTTCTTAGTACCTATAGATATAACCCAAGTATATCTAGGGTAACTGTAGTTATTGGACTTATAATTGGGTGATATCTACACTCTAAACCCTAAACCATTGTAATTGGGTATTAACTACAGTTACCAAATAGGTTATAAGTACAATGGACCTGCAAGTTGATAGTTTGGGGTAAGCTGAAAACTCCAAACCCCAGAACTCGCCAAATTCCACTCCTTGTGTACTAGTAACCCTTTCCCTCCTGGTTTAGGGTTTAGGGTTTAGGGTGGGGGGGGGGGTTGCCAAAACAAGTACTCTACATATACATATGCTTAAAAAGCGCTTGGCAGATACAATCTCCTAAAAGTCACAAATTTCGCATCCCCAATCCCAACGCAAGATTGTAAGCGCAAACCCCCAGGTATATGATGGTTGATTACCTCCACCATGGGCTATTAGACCCCAACAATTCCCGAGTAGGGCCCTATTAAGGGTAGTTTAAGGTACTAAACCCTAAAACCCTAAACCCTAAAGGTCTAATAGCCCATAGTACCTGGACCCTTCAGGGTAAGGAGGGTTTCCCCCTCCATGTAAGATCCCATGAGTCGGGCACCAAGGCTTCTGCTGCGCGGGGGGATCCTTTTTCCAGAGCCCTCCATGTCTATAAATAATGCCTACATTGGGCCCCAAAGGCTCAAGGACTTAGAAAGTAGATTATCGATGCATCTATCTCAAGTTTGCTAATTGAGGCTGGCCTGCGGACAAAGCCCCTCTGAAAACCTACTTACAAAGTCCCCCGGGCCCCGATCCCTGAGCCCTAAATTCCAAACCCTATATAACCCGAAGCCCTAAACTCTGAACCCATAAATCCCCCATAGCTATAACCCCCCCTAAAGGGCCCGTAAACCTGTCCTTGAGTGCCCGCTCTTTTGCATTTTAATCTCCGTGGTCGTAACATCAAGGGGAATTACCCCTTGAACCCTGAACCTGTAAACCTCGTATGACGTTGGCAAACTACCCTAGAACCTCAAGGGGGTAGGACAATCTTCGGAAATTCCGTTGCACAGCAAAAGACAGCAGGAGGCGACGGAGGAGGTCTCCACCGTTCATTAAAGCTCGTATGCGCCCAATCTGCAATGTTTAGGGGTTTAGGGCTTAGGCTCGAGTATATAACCATCGAGCAGTTTCAAAGTCCTCTGTTCACCTAGGGATTCTTGATACGACACGTTCTTGGACTTCAAGCCTGGATACCAGGGCCCTCAACAGGCGAGTAAGTAGGCAAGGTGTAGTTTTGCTCCGTGAGGGCTCCCACATATAATATAGGGGCCTCGATAATTACCAATATCATGGTTCCATATTCCTGAGTGTTTGGGGTTTAGGGTTAAGGGTTTAGGATTAAGGTTTTAGGGGCCTAAATAAATACCCATATCATGGTTCCATATTCCTTATATAATTATGGTGTATGGTACCTCAAGGACCTCCAAATGATATTGGTAATCAGGCCCCTGTAGTAGATGTTTTTGGCGCCCAAAAGGGATATTAAGTATTTGATTGCTTGAGCGCTTAGCATGAGCCCCTAACCCTGATTCCACCCGAAAATTCCCTATTAGGACCCTACTAAGGGTAGATTAAGGTACCGTTATGGTCTACTAGCCCACAGTGGTTGGTCTAACAAAAAGGCAACTTCTTGAAATGGTAGTTTCCCAAGATAAGGCGACCCCAATATAGATCCAATGTACTACAATCCTCATTCTGGGGACCGCAAAAAAACTGCCCCTAGACCCTCCCCAAAAAGATACCCCTAATTTTGGGAAACCCCCAAATGACCGCTCTAGAAACTTTAAAGTCGGGCCCCGCGATCTACCGATAGTGCTTCCCGGGCGACCCTTAAGGCCCTCCAGTGTTGAGAAACCATCGGGTTTAGGGTTCAGAGTTTAGCGTTTAGGGGCATCCGAGGCAGATTGGGGACACTGACGGCCGGCCATCAAGTGCAACTGGTGTGAGCAGATCCATTACTTGGGTCCCCGTTGGAGGGTCCTTCAAAAATTGTTTCAGGACACTCTAAACGGCTTCTAGGATCTAGGGATATATGATACAACTAATATATGCATGCTTCTCCAGAAAGAGAGGTATAGAAATTCTTTAGCGATATAGAGAATAGGAAAGTGAGGTGAAGATTACTAGTTCAAGTTATGACTAGGTAACATCCAATCTTCTCTTGAGAAGGGCTTCCTCCGTTTGAGGATATCAGATATCATGGCCCAACACACGGAGCCTAATGTGAAAGCCTGAATGATCAGGAACATTCTCCCTGCAATCCTACACTTTTTTTCCGGCCCCTCAGGTCCAAGTACTCCATAAATGTGTTCCCAAAAAATGCACTACCGACCCTTAACCTTTGACCCGAAACCCTAAACCATGTAATTACAGGTGCCAGAGATCGAGACCTAAGTACCCAAGTTTCTGGGCACATGGACCTTCCAGGCCTGAGGGTTTAGGGTAATTGAAGCGTATTCCTCTTATTTCGGCTCCGTTTGCAGTACGGGTACTTTGCATGGCACGAGCGCCTACCAGTTGGAAAAAGTCATGCATTTCACATGCCACTAAGAGGTTGACAGAGTAGCCACAACGGGCCCAATACCTCGTAATCAAGGAGTATACCCGGCTTAGGGCTTATAGTCCCCCTTAAGTAGATAGAATATGGCTTTGGGTATATTCTAATAAGATCCCCATATACCCCATATTCTTTCTATTTCGGGGGGACTATAGGTTTTAGGGAAACCCTAAACACCTAGACCCTAAACCCCTGAACCCTTAACCCAGGGTTGAGGGATTTCTGTTAGGGAGGAATGACTTCAGGTTTGTGTGGGGGTTTATGTGTTATGGTTTACAGCTGAACCCTAAACCCTAAATTCAGTACAGCCAGGATGATGAGCCATCGAAGCAAGGTACCTTGAGGCCCTTGACCTATTGTCCATCCAAGGTTTGGGGCTAGAGGACCCTAAACCCTAAACCTACCGTTTAGGGTTTAGGGTTCTGTTTCTGCCCGCTGCTCTACCCAGGTAGCCAAGCAAAGGAGGGTTCAGCCTTTTGCTTAGTTTCAAATCAACGTCTTAGGGTTTAGGGTTTAGGGTCTCTACCTTCTTCAGGGTTTGGGTCTAGGTTACCATCTAGGTTATTCTGAGTAGGAGTTAGTTGTCTGCCCACAGGCAACGCAGTACACTGTTTGAAGTCAGGCGAAGACCGCCGAAAAAAATTTAATCGTCCGAGCTCATGCTCCGGGCGAGTTTCCAAGGGTGTGCCACAAGGTTTGGGAGGGGGGGAGGGGGGTCCACTACTATTACTACCATGGTTTAGGGTTCGACATTAGAGTTTAGGGTGGGGTGTAGGGTTGCAACTATCCATGATGGTCAACGTTGCCTTCTGCATGCGAGCAATGTAAGGGCCGAAACAATTCAGTACCAATGTTGCGCGGTCCTAGATTTGATTGCATTTCTTGCATACTTATGGTATAGCGGTACCTCAGTTTGACCTCTAAATGATGTTGCTAATCAATTAGGCCACTACATGTAGCCCATTCCTCTTACCTTTAATCCTAAAGGCGCATTCCTCTTGCCCATGATGATGAGCAAATATGCCGGGTAAACTTTTTCCGGGAGGGGATGAGTCTTGCAAGCCTTTAATCCGCAGAGTCTCATTTAAAACTTAGTCCCAAAGGGTCCATGTAGCTATATAGTATATACTTGGGCCTAAAACTAATTATATGAGAAAGCCTTTGGGCCCTAAGTATATACGACATAACTACATGGACCCTTTCATGCTCCCATGAGCCTCAAACGCCGAGCCCCAGAGTTTCGAGCCCCATGTCCTAAATCCGTAAACCCTTATAACAACGACTATCTACATGAGCCATAGTCTAAACTACTTGAAGGGGTTTTATGGGAGATTACGTAGGGGAGTACTATAGAGGTTATTAAGGGGGGATACTAGGAGTTTAGACTATAACAGTT